ATTATAGCTCAAAGAAATCTGGTACTTGAGTATCCACAAATGTTAGGTAAAAGTTCTCCATTTCTGAATGAAATCACTTATAATTTATATTTATCTAATCAGAGTAAAGGTAAGCCCATTTAGATGGGTAGTATGGAATATTTCAGACCATTCCATTTTGATGAATTGGCTATTGCTAGAAATTGGCGTTAAACTGCGACAATAAAATGAACTTTGTGTCTGTGACTCAAAGTCATCAATGATAACATTGTAGACCCTGTATAATTTAAGTGGATACATAATAGGGAACTTGAGCCAAGATAGAGATACAAGAAATATTTTATGTGAATAAATCTTTTCTTTGGAGTTCAGAACAGTTTGCAAACAAAAATCCCAGTTTCATATAGCATCTTTTAAGAGTTTTTGTTTTAGTGCAGCTCACAGCTGAACTAGAGGATGAATTGAGACTCCCCTCACCACCCCATCCCCCCAATTGCCAGTCATCATTAGACTAAGGACTGGAATCCAGGTTTCTGACTCACAATTTAAATGTATTTTCCTTTGGACAACCAGATGGATCCTACTCAGAGGAAAGCTTAATTTTGGCCATTTAAGAGGCAGTTTTCTATGAAATAGGTGAAGCTAGAAGAAACTAATTTTGAATGGAAAATGATCCCCCCCAAATTTTAGTTTTAAGAGCAAAGCTGTGATTAGAGCTTGAAGCATATTAAAGGTAAGAACAAAAGGTGGTATTTCCCACAAAAAAGATAATAGGAAATTACAGAATTACCAGGTGTGAATGGTCTTTGATAAATATACAGTGTGCTCAAGAAGTGAGATATTGGCCCTGGCCTGTTTGCTCAATGGTTAGGACATCCACCTACAGACCGAAGGGGGGGGCAGCCAGTTGATGTATCTTTCTCATGTTGATGTTTCTCTCTCTCTCCCTCTCTCTCTCCCCTCCCTCTCTGTCCCCCAACCCCTCCTCCACCATCCCTCCCTTCCACTCTCTCTAGAAATCGATGGAAAAACATCCTCAGGTGAGAATTAAAAAAAAAAAAAAGTGAAATACTAGAATATAGAAGTCCTATTTCCTGGGCTGCTTTCCCCCAACCAAATCAGGATAAGAAGAAGCCTTACATTTATTGAATGTAGGTCCATAGCTGGTATTCCTTTATGAAATTAGAAATTTCTCCTCGTTTCACATCACAAGTAAGCTCTTTTTTCTTGTTTCTCCCAATCAGATACTTTCTCTGTCCACCTTGGGAGTTCCATTTCTGTCTTACTCTTTTCCACATTACTCTAGTGACCTAAACTAATTTGTCAGTAACACCTTGTGTTTGGAGAGAGTCTGGTTATATTTGTAGGTTCAGCTCCACACTGAATTTCAACAGGATGTGGGTGGGTGTGTGAGTCTATAATGAGGCATTCCTGCTTGTGGTTGTTGCATGGTAGTGAGGATGGCTATATTCAACAGTAAATTCATACTTCTTTAAACATTTTAGTAGATAAACTTAGATTACAGTAAGCCTGTGTGCTGGCTCTCATTTTTAAGTTAAATGATTATTTGACTTTTCAATTGAAATTCTTTATGCATATTCTTTAACATGAAGAATCTTATCTCTTGAAAGAGAAAACTGGCCTACAAAATAAAGCTCTTCTCATATGCCCCCATCCAAAATGCTGTTAACTATAGAACAGTGGGAAATGCTGAAGTGAAAGCAGAAGTCCTAATTGCCACATACAACATCCCCACATGTCGTCCCCTGCTATTGCTGATCAGCTTTTTGGAGGTATGTTTCAAAAAGGAACTGCCTTGAAAGGCATTTCTGTTGTTATGGTTATTGGTATAGCTCAGATATACTTGCTTTTGGATGCGACTATAGAAATATAATGTTATCTAAATGAAGTGTTTGTTTATTTATAATAAACAGTTAGTAATAAACATTATTGCCGGGACGAGCAGTCATCTGTCTTCTGTCCTGTTAACAACAGGAATTCAGAATATGGGTTACAAATGCCTCCTCCCTCTCACATGCAGCCTTCCTTTATTACTTTCTTCCACCCTACCAATTCCTACTTCTCACCTTCCACTCCTGCCCTAGTCCGCAGAATTTTAGTAATTAGTTTATGTGAAATGAAAAAGGTTGAAAATCGCTGGTCTAGACTAGTCAGTATACTGCCAGGCCATGGCTAAGAAGGAATGCCTGAAGTCTTTTCTTTGTTCTCCTCATTCTCGAGTCCCTTAGGCTGAAAATAGTCAGGCGTACAGATGGGTTTGCTGTTGAGCCTGGCTGGATGTCTAGAACTGGTCCAAATCTTTTTTTTTTTTTTTTTTACTTTTATGGGGAGCCAACTCCAAATCAGTCTGGGAGCCTCCCAGGGTGTAAATAATTGAACCTCGGGACTCTGTGTGAACCATCCTTTGGGCCACTCTGGATCCTGCAGGTTCTGGTAACTAGATGAATCTAGACTGGAGAAGGGCTTGATTCGTGACCATGATTCACCTAAACCAGGGGTGGACAAACTTTTTGACTCGAGGGCCACAATGGGTTCTTAAACTGGACCGGAGGGCCGGAACAAAAGCATGGATGGAGTGTTTGTGTGAACTAATATAAATTCAAAGTAAACATCATTACATAAAAGGGTATGGTCTTTTTTTTTTTAGTTTTATTCAGTTCAAACGGGCCGGATTTGGCCCATGGGCCGTAGTTTGCCCACGGCTGACCTAAACCTACCTCTGACTTTGCTTCAGAATGCAAGTGCATATTAGCTACATGAGGAGGTTATGGCAGGTTAGGCAGAAGCAAACTCAGAGCTTCTGAAAGGTCATCTAGCTTAGTCCCTTTATTTTGCAGATGAGGAAACGGTAGCACAGAGCGAGAATTATCTTTAATTTAGAAGGCATTGTAAAGTCATTCATTCTGACCTGTCAACATCAACATCTAGGGATGTCTCCCCTAAAATGCCTGACAGCTGGTCACCCAGAGCATGGTCTGGGGAACTCATAATTTTAAAGAGAGAATAGCTCTAATTAAAAGAGCTAACTGAATTGAAATCTTTCTCTGTAACTTTTATCTTCTCAGTGGTTCTAATTTAGTTCCTTTCCCATGTAACAACCCCCAAGGTAAGACCACTTCAAACCCCCAAGTTAGCAAATATCACTATAGCATATACTTTTCTTTTTTTAAAATATGTTTTATTGATTTTTTACAGAGAGGAAGGGAGAGGAATAGAGAGTTAGAAACATCGATCATCTGCCTCCTGCACACCTCCTACTGGGGATGTGCCCGCAACCAAGGTACATGCCCTTGACTGGAATCGAACCTGGGACCTTTCAGTCCACAGGCTGACGCTCTATCCACTGAGCCAAACCGGTTAGGGCAGCATATACTTTTCTTAATCAAAGTACCGCTGAAAAAGAACTTTATTGAATCTATAAAAACATGGCATTCTATACTCTTTCATATATATTTTTTTAAATATATTTTATTGGTTTTTTTTTTTTTTTTTTTTTTTTGAGAGGAAGGGAGAGAGATAGAGAGTTAGAAACATGGATGAGAGAGAAACATCGATCAGCTGCCTCCTGCACATCTCCCACTGGGGATGTGCCCGCGACCAAGGTACATGCCCTTGACCGGAATCGAACCCCGACCGTTCAGTCCGCAGGCCGACGCTCTATCCACTGAGCCAAACCGGTTTCGGCTATACTCTTTCATATATTTAAAACTTGTTTTCTGAGCTAAGAATCACTACTTTCTTAGTTTTCTTCACTTTCTCTTCATTTCTGTAACTGGCACTAGCATTTAGCTCTTTCCATGAAACTTTTAAAAAACAAACCTACATTTTATCACTTTGTGAGTCTAATTGTACAAAACTACCAGGAGTTTTGGTAGCAGAACTCACCCCTGTAACCTGTCTGTGATTTCTATTGTCTCCTTCTTAGCCTGTGAAGAGTTTCCCAACTGGTCTTCTTACCCTCCAGCCTTCTCGTGCCCAAATATAAATTCTTTGCTTCTGTTAGAATGATTTGTCTAAAATGCAAATTTGATCATGTTAACTTCCTTAATTCAGTGGTTCCTCAGCACTCAGTGCTTCAAAAATTTTCCACTAAGTGACAACTGATGATAGAGGAGCCTTTCTCAGCTGGATTTCCATGAGAGAATTAATCCCTGATACCATTAGACATCCATTGTATGTAAATGTATTACTTTATCCAGTGCATCTGGAATGATGCTAGTTATGTACAGTCTTGAGGAGAATTGAGAAAATAGTCACTCAGATAATTTTTTTTGTTCTGTGGTTCAGTTGAGGAACCCAGTATGAAAGGTGGAGGAAAGAGAGAATGTTATGTCTTCAGTAGGCACAGAAGCATGACTCGGAGCCACCTCCAGAAAAAACCTGCCAGATTCCATTGAAGTCTGGGGTCTCATCTTTAAATGTATGTCACTATTGCATTCTACTGCATAGTAAGTCCAAGGAGAAAAATGTTTTAAAATACTTATCAGTGGAAAAAGTTGATTTTCCAGGAAGATTTTCCTAGGGTTCGTAGAACTACAAATAACTACATTTTTTACCCTGTAGTGGACATTTTACATATGCTATATTACTTACTATCTCTAGGAAAATTACCCAAGATCACACAGCTAGTCAGGTGTCAGAGTCAGTGTTCTAACCCAGTATGTCTCAACTCTACAACTTGAAACTGAGTTGAGAGTCAAGAACCTAAAAGTCTTTGCACATTTCTAAGTTTATCTTCACCAGAAGGTAGGATTTTTTTTCGTGGTCAAATTATTATTGTGGTTCAGATCATGAATAATTCCATACTTTGTATGCAAAACATAACTAACCTTGATTATCCAAAACAAAAGTAAGCAGTGATGCAGGTAATTCCATATAACAGGGAATCTTGTCTCTTTTTGGTGGCTCTGAAACATATTAAATTACTTTTTAAGTAGCAGATATACTTTTCTAATTGTTTTGTCTTGGTGGTTATTTACATATTGTCATTTCTTTCTTTTTTTAATATGGAACGCTTCATGAATTTGCATGTCATCCTTGCGCAGGGGTCATGCTGATTTTCTCTGTATCGTTCCACTTTTAGTATATGTGCTGCCAAAGCGCGCACCATATTGTCATTTTTTGAGTACTCTTTAGCTAGTTATAGGAGCTGGCATTTTTGGCAAGAGGAAGCCATCTTGGTATTGAAAATTTGGTTTTAGGTAAATCCAACCCAGGTGACAGAATTGACTCCATTTGTGTCTGCTTACCCAAAGCACTTGGGAAAGCATAAATGCTAAAGTACCAAGGCCTTAGAAGTTGCCCCTCACCCCCTGCCTCCCCAGTCTGGCATTTACCTAGCCATCTGGAATCCAGTTTCTGTTAGGTGTTCAGAGAGAACTTCTGGAATGCCCTGTCAATGGCCACATTCAACACAGAATTTCAAGGAGATCTGGCTCTTTTAGCTCCTCTGAGAAGCTGGAACAAGGCTGAAATTATTGCTAATGGAGGGAACCACAGTGGCTGTTTTCAATCATCTCTGACTACACCTTTGAATTTCTGGTTCTTTCAGAAAGCTTGAAATATGGAAGTCTAAGGGCATCCCGAGGATGGTGTACAGAGCCCTGTGAGGTTCTTTTATTTGTAACCTCCTGCCTCCTTTGTTGTTCTAAACTTCCTTTTCACCATGAATTACTAAAGATTGCATCTTAGTACCCGATACCCTTTCCATTAAGTAAAAGAGAAGAAGAATTAGACTAGAAGGAAAGTCCAGAGTTAGGGTTAGAAAACCTACTGAGTCAAAGGGGAACTTTGCAGAGGAGTGGAATGAAAATTATTTCCTTAGACAGTAGACAAATATTCAGGAAACACCTCTGCACCCCAAAGATAGGCACAGCTGCCACACAGTGCCTATTAAAGGGAGTTTCAGAGTTATGAGCAAACAGCTGATTCTCTTGGTTCTTGGGCTGTTGCTGTTGGTGACAGGAAACCTTGTTCCCCAAGCTGCTGGCTTCCTGTTTTATTTTTACTCTTAGCAGATCAGAATGTCCATAACAAGGAGCAGTCTGTTCCAAAGGGTTCTACTCCCCCTTTGAGCCTGAAGGGCTTTTACTTTTTTTTTGTTTAACTTTTGGTTGGACAATATGCTGGTTCACTTTTAAGATCTATGATATTTAGTTTGGTTTAAACATTTTGTATTCACAATCAACTTTTTGGTGATGAACTGGTGTTATAAGATTTGATGTAAGTAAACCTCTCTTTTCCTTTTTTTGTTGTTGAAGAGGAGTTTGCAGTATTGGGGACTTGGGTGTGTTGCCTTTATGTTTCGCCTTTTTACTTAAAGTGAATCTGCCATTTGCCCTAGCATGAAAATCATTAGACTGTTTTGGATAGCTTTAGTTTTACAAAATAGGGAAATAGTATGCCATGGCTGTAGTCATGTCCGTTTTGTTGAGACTAAAACCTGCTTCTATCCTTGTAAAGCTCGGAATGTGGTAATCTAACTCTGAAACAATAGCTCAAAATGAACCTGAAGTGCTGGGGGATTTCCTAGGGAAAGGCGCTCAGCCGACAGGATAAGAAACAGTAACTGGAAGGTTTCCAGGTCTGCTCCAGACACTTCCTGCTGTCTCAAGAGCCGTTGGCCCAGGTGTGTTGAACCAGATGGGAGAGAGAAAGGGAACTGTTGGGTAGAAGGAAAAGGACTAGGGAATCTTAAAGTACAGTTTGCTCGGCATCATGTTTGACATATTGAACATGTAAATTTTTCCTTAATATTCTTTCTGTCAATTTACAGACTGAACTTTAGCAGTGCTAATGAATACTGGCAGCTAGTATTTAGTTGTACATTAACAGTCGTTCATCAGGGAAGAACTGGAGAAATTATGTCCTGATGTAGATCCATGGAATCACTATTGGTAACTTAATTTCATTGGGGAGATGAGATTATCAGATGACAAAAGCTCTTTTTTGATCCTTATAATTGATCATCTGGAATCTGATCTACCCTGGACACCCCAAGAATAGGATCTGTACCTTCTAGGATCTGCTGAATGGGCTGTTTTCTGACCATAACTCCTTGCCTCTGGAGATTCTTGTTGGTTAGAGCACAGTTGTTTTAGGTTTTTAGTTTTTTTTAAATGCTGTCTGTAGTACCCCAGCCAGCAGTCACCAGTGCAGAATCTCTGCACTTATCCAGCAATCCTTTACTAAACCTTAAAAAGGTGGTGGTTGGGGGAGGTATTGAGGGGATTCTTTTTTTTTTTTTTAAATATATTTTATTGATTTTTTACAGAGAGGAAGGGAGAGGGATAGAGTGTTAGAAACATCGGTGAGAGAGAAACATCAATCAGCTGCCTCCTGCACACTCCCCACTGGGGATGTGCCCGCAACCAAGGTACATGCCCTTGACTGGAATCGAACCTGGGACCCTTGAGTCCGCAGGCTCACGCTCTATCCACTGAGCCAAACCAGTTAGGGCAAAGGTGGTGGTGGTGGGGATTCTTTAAAAAAAAAAAAAAAAAAAAAAAAAGATAGGGAGAGAGAAGATTTTTTAAAGCTGTTTTAGATCAGAGCAAGACAAAAAGACTTACTCTGCCCTAGTGTGCCTGGAATTTGTGGTTGAGTAATACTTTCCTGTTATTTCTTTTTTAGGTTGTTTTTCATCATTCAGAACATTGCCTGAAGCAGGTCCACCATGCCGTTAGTAACGAGGAACATCGAGCCAAGGCACCTGTGCCGTCAGACGTTGCCTAGTGTTAGAAGCGAGCTGGAATGCGTGACCAACATCACCCTGGCAAATGTCATCCGACAGCTGGGCAGCCTGAGTGAGTGCCGCAGAGAGCCTGTGCTTTGCCCTCAGGGGTCGTTGGTGCTCTTTATTTAGTTCCCTTCTCCTCCTGTGTAACTATTTCTCCCCCATCTGCCTTCCCTAGGTAATGCAAAAATGTATCCCACCCCCTCTCCCCCAAGAGAGGCTGCTTTTTGGTACAGACTCTTCCCCTCAACCCTTTCTTCATCTGCCACCACCCTCTAGGCTCCCTCCACCTCCCTCTCCACCTGCTTCTAAAGGAATCTGTAGGAAGGGTGGCAGGAAGGGCTGCAGCAGAAACTGCAGATGGAATGACAGAGCAGAATTCTGTGTGTGTAAAGTGGGAGGTTCACAGAACAGTATCTTGGGTTGGGGAATGTGCCTGTAATTGCACGAACTGTTCAATGTAGCCTGACTTTGTTGAAGCCTCAAATGTGCCAATAGTCACATCTACCCGACATCCCCCACCCCCTTTCTTCCCAAAGAGGAGTAAAGCAAACATGCACTCGGAGAGATTCTGGCTGACTTGTCTACCCTGGTACACATTTAATTGTGCTGCAAGCCCCCAGGTCCAAGTTCAGGGTACAGATTACTTCTGCAATCTCCGGGGTATTGGGAGTTTTGCAAGCTGCGTGAACACACAGTGACACAAATTGTAGCTGGAGCCATTCTTCTCTAGGAGGAGGATGGGGGGAGGGTGTAGTCCAGTCTGTTTTGGAGCTGAGGGAAGGCCAGCTCAACTGTATCTTTTTTTTTTTTTTTTTTTAATTGGCAAGAATGAATGAGACTGCCTTGGGTGGGGTACATACATGTGGTTTGGATTTCATTGTGAATCAAGCTGACTTTGTTTGCTTGAAGCTGAGGTATGGGAAGGGCAGATGCTTAGATAGACTGTGCATTTGTGTAGTGCCACTCCAGCTCCCCATAAGAACCTCCATCAACATGGTATTTTAGTGATCTTCCTTAGCAAAGGCATCTTGGTGTGAATTATTTCAGACATTCACTCCTCCTGTCGCATCACTGTCCTTAGTAAAGGCAGTGGAATAGTATCAAGAAAGCCTGCATTCCCCCAGATAGTAATAGACCCTGCCTTTAAAATAGGGGCCTGAGGAGACAGAGCGCAGTGACCAGATGATATATGGGGTCTGAGATTCCTAAGCCTTCACCTAGCTCAGAGGCCACCGCGGTTGATCCAGGACTTAGGGAAACCTGGATGGGCATCAGGAGGAAACGAAACCCTGTCGATGCCTGCCTTACACAAAGGAACGTGGACAGCAGTGCAACAGCAGTGCAGCTGGCAAGGAAGCACATGAAAGCTGCAGAGTGCCTCACTGCTTCTTAAAAGCATCATTTCTGCCTCTGTCACCCTGCGTAGGCCAAATGGGTGGAAGGCAATCACACACTGGTTCCTTCTTCATAGGACAAAGGACATCCAGCTAATGATGCTGCTTATGCTCACTCAGCAGGAGTCAGGCTCGCTCTCAGGTGTTTTTCGGGGTAGTGTTGATGGATGACATTGCTCACTCTCCCGTCTGTGGTCAGACCTCTCCTACCTTAAGGAAGCTGATCTGAGGGCCAGGATCAGCTTGTGCCTACAGAGACAGGATTTCCTTACTTCGTGGAGCTGATGACCCTTTATTCATCCTCTAAACATCTATTGAACATACTTTATGTTTAGTGCTGAGGGGATGCAGCAATGAGAAATGGTCTCTGGCCTTAGCCGGTTTGGCTCAGTGGATAAAGTGTTGGCCTGCAGACTGAAGGGTCCCGGGTTCAATTCTGGTCAAGGGCACATGCCTGAGTTTAGGTTTGATCCCCAGTAGGGGGCATGCAGGAGGCAGCCAATCAGTGATTCTCTCTCATCATTGATGTTTCTATCTCTCTCCCTCTCCCTTCCTCTCTGAAATCAATAAAATATATATATATATTTTAAAAAAGAAAAGAAATGGTCTCTGCCTTTCAGGAGCTTATAATCTACCAGAGGAGACAGAAATAAATAAATCTTAAGGGGAGAATGGGGAGAGGGTGAGAAGGAAACTCATATTTGTTGACTGCCTACTTTATCCCAGGTTTTAATAGGATCTTGACATACATGATCTCATTTAATCTTCTCAATAATCCTGTAAAAATAGATGATATTTCTATTTTTTCAGATGAAGGAATGAAGGCTCAGAAAAGTAAGATAACTTGCCTAGAGAGACAGCAGCCAGTAAGAGGCAAGTCAGTCTCTGCTGTGAGTTGCTAAGTTCAAGGCTCCTTGAAGATATCGCTGCTCATCAAGGATTTCTCGTCTCAGTCCCCTGCGCTCTGTCTC